TTTTACGTTTCTTCTAAAAAAAAAAAGTGCGAACGATCACAGCTAACGAAATTATTCCTCTGTGAAAAATGCCATGCTTGTAAAGTATTTGTTTAAACAAAATATTCTGTATTTTACTGTTAATTTGAATATTAAGATATTTTTAATGATAAATTATAGGTTCATAAAGAGGGGGAACTGGCATTAAAAAGTTAAATTCATCACGTTTATCATAAAGTTTAGTTGGTAGTGTGCCGTCGATGTCTTTCTCTGGTAAAATATCCATAGTTGAAGCAGTCATGTCAAGGTTTTATATTTCGATTTCTGTGGGTTGTATCGGATTATATCGAATCAACGTATTAATGAATAATTGGAACCTTCAACATCTTCATGAACATATCAATTCGCCTGATCACTGTATTCTTTCAATGAGGGTTAGAATTTTGGAAAAGGTATATTATCCGACCAATAGTCCTACTTTGGATACTCCAGTCCGTAGACATCGAGAAGAATACTGGATCAGGAAGCTAGGCAAGGCTTATGGTTGAAACGACTAATTAAATTATGTATGAAATCTCTCACGCCCACAGTCTGCGAATGTGAATGTGATGGGACTTTTTACAATACACCTAGGCTTAGGCTTGTACATCGATCATACAATAAACCAAATATACATGATTCTTTTGATTCACTTTTGCCTTACGCCAATAAACAATTAGGCCTTCATCACATTCGCACTAAACTCTGCTTGGTTCGCTTGAAATTTTTGAATGGACTATTTAAAGAAGATAAAGCAAGTCCATAGTTTGAGTCTTCAACTGCAGAATACAAGCTCGTGTTTGTGATTATAAATGTTGGCCAGTAGGCGTGTCGGAATATAATTCCGACTCAACCTGTCGGCTCCTTAAACTTAATTTTTCTAACTTTATGAACATTACTAGTATTTTTATTCATAAAGTCCAGTCTTGCATTCCATCGTATTTCAAGTTGAAGTCTACACCCTGTATTAATTTTCTACAAAATGCTTTTAAACTTTTCAATTATAAACACACCTTCCAGTGCCTAGACATTGAACAATTAAACAAAATCCTCTTAAGTGTTCTTGCTCTTCCTCTTCTTTCAACTATAGTTCCACTGGACATGTCATTACTGGTAATGTTAATATAGTTGAAATTGACGACCTAAAAGCAATCATTTTAAAAGGTCCTAAAACAGGGAGAAGATTATGCTAGACGTTGGGCTAATTATAAAGGGAAGACCTGACCACGTTGTCAGAATGAATTAATTGTTTTAAAAATATATTAAAGAATCATGTAGAAAGTTAAAAGGCAACATGCGAACCATTTTTCCTTCTGTTTTTCGTAAATCGGAGGTGATAAAAGAATCAGAAAGACTAGATGAACAATACATGTTAGTTATGGTTCCAGCAGACAAGGCTTGTAACAATATCGTCTTTGTTTGTAAGGCTCATTATATTATAACTGTATTTTAGGGGAAAAAAATTAATTCTACATTTGGAACTCCTACTTATACTCACCAACTGTAGGCCTTTGTTTTAATACTAAATTTGACTACAGAATATTCCTTGTACCTTGATCAATACATAGGTGTGACCGGTCAACATGGGATGTTTACTTCTCATAGGCACCTGATCCCATCTCTGGAATTTCCAGGAGTACGTGTTATATGCCCTGTTCACAGATTTGTATTGTTTGTAGGTTTTCTTGGATCAATCACTGTTCGTTTTCTGTGATATTGATCTTATTAAAGAAATTGTTAACCCATGTTAATATAATATTACAAAACGCTTATGTAACTGTTTAGATATATATATAAAAAATGGACTTTGAAGGATCGAGTGACTTTGTCTTGAGTGTTTGGCCAATATGATATTATTTAGTCATCTGTTGGTTGTCATTTGACTTGGTATCTTGATTGTGTACCAACTTGGTGATATCCATAAATTGAATTGATAGTAAAATTCTCTCTCTCTCTCTCTCTAGATTTTAAACTGTCTTATGTTGTGAGTTTCTGACGATTCTTCCCAAAGCCTAAGAAAAATATTGTTATTTGGTAGTTTATTTTTTTCGTATTATAGGTAATGATAAATGCATTTCTTTTCATAATGCAGAGTCTTTGATCGGACTAAAGGTATATATTAATATTCAAATCTTTGTGTTTCTGTAAGTAAACCGTACCCTATCTAAACTGTGAAAAAAAACCCATTAAACTTCTATACTTTAAACATTATACAGGTATTAAGGCTTGCACTGAACTATTCTCTAGGTTAGATTTCTGTCAGGGGTAGCTGGTCATTAACATTACCGAATATAAGTACTTCAGTAAAGTGAAAAATGTGAAAATAACGATCTATAAACAATAAAAATCTGTGAACAGGACATAAAACATGGACCCCTGTAAATTCCAGACGTTGATCAGGTGCCCATGAGGAGTAAGCATCCCCTATAGTCAATTTCCCCCCAAACATTAGATACTCAAATTTATTTCTGTAAGAAGCAACCACATTATTGTAAATTCTGTCATTTCGTTGCAAACATTGTCCCCTCTTCTATTAAATTCATATCAAACCAATTAATGCTTTGTATATTTTATAATCTCTGATAAAGCTAGAACGTGCACAGATATAATAATATTTCGTGTAGAGCCAGCACATATCACATGTATGGTAGCTGTTCCCTTCCCCTCTAATTATTGCGTCCAAGTTGGAATTATATTTCCTTCGTGTAAAATGTACCCCCTTGCTTCATCATGAATTATCTAATTATAACATGACATGATTTAATTATGCTGTAACTTTTTTTTAGCGGTAATAATATTTAAGCGTTTTTGCGATGCTTCTAAGTACATGATAATATAGATTTAATCAAATACTTTTAAAAGTTAAGTTCAAAATGCGCTACTTTATCAATACGCTAACCAGTTGATGAGGAAGATAGCGCTTAATTTTGAGTGCACTAACTTACGTTCATATTCAGTATATGCTTCAGGCCAAGGAAACAGAGTTTGCATTTAGAAATAGAGAACAAGGAGAATTTGCAGGGTGCTTTAATATTGCAGACAGTACTTTGATCGGATAAAATGCTAAGAAAGCAAGCATGTGTAAGCATGACCATTTCTCCATTTTTTAATATCAAATTAATCAATTGGATTTCTAAATCGATATTCCATTTTCCAAAATGTACACACGTTTTTGTTCACTAGTCAAAACAGTTAGTAACCTCAAAGACTGAGATAGGATTTTCATTGTTGCGGATCTTGTAAAAACTAAATGTTTTGTAGTACAGAAATTCTAATGAGAGGATATGGCGCCAGACCGAGTATGAAATGTATCGGGAGAGTATTTTTGAGACACTTATCCCGTTATGATTTTGATGTTACAATATTGTCAAGAGTGCTCCGTGGAGACAAAACATTGAGATTTTAGAATTTTAGGAAACATGATTTCCATTGATTCACAAGAAATGAAACTCCAAACATTAAGGTTTTGCCAAAGGTCAAGATGTCCAAAAATTTATTTTTACAATAGCTCCAAAACTACGTGAGGTATAAAGTTAAAACTTTTACAGTTTATAAATATATCATTGATTAACAGATAGAAAGTATCACTTGAAAACAAATATTTAAAAAAATATATTTTTTAAGAAAAAAAATTTCAAAAAAATTTGCATATTTTTAACAAAAATGCACCTGCTTAATTCTGTACTTTTAATAAAAACCATCATTGCAGAAATAATGTACATGTATGTTTATCAATGAAGGGCAAGTTGGACGTGAATGGTCTCTGAAAGGCTGTTATTGAAAGCATGACATGTATAAAGAAAAGACTCCTATACAATCCGCCATTTGCAATGTACTTTCGGTTTCAAATCTTAACATTTGGACAAAATAAACAGGGAAAACAACTTTCCAGAGGCTATCGAAGTCCAACTTGCCCTTCATTGATAAACATATATTGTTTCTGCAATGATGGCTTTCACTAAAAGTACGGAATTAATTAGGTGTATTTTTTAAAAGTATATGCATTTTTTAAAAAAGACTTTTTCTCGATAAATATTTTTTTATTAAGTATTTGTTATCAAGTGATACTTTCTATCTGTTAATCAATGATATATTTATAAACTGTAAAAAGTTTTAACTTTATAAACCACAAAGTTTTGGAGCTATTGTAAAAATAAATTCTCGGACATGTTGACCTTTGGCAAAACCTTTAAAAAATATTTACATATGATAATGTGCTGAATTCTTAAAAAAAATAATATAACAAAACTGACACTGTCTGCGAACAGTCATCGTATATTTATGAAATAAGAGGACATCAAGGCCTAAGAAAAAAAACTTTAATTACAAGACAGTCTATTGACAAATAAGTTAATGATTCAAAGATACATGTTTCAACAATGACGTTCAAAGTTTCCATGGTCGATACATTGAATTTTTTTTTTGCAAATACAATCTGTCGTTGTGTCGAATATTGACTGATTATTAGACCATTATTTTCACACTGAATTTACTACGAATTTTTCCGCTTACCCGATTCACATTATGGCACGCAGCGTGTGTGATTGGCAGGGGATGCTTACTCCTCCATGGCATCTGATCCCATTTCTGTTTGCAGAAGTCCATGTTGGCTCTGCTCTTTGTATTGTTTAAATACTACTTTTGAGAATTATCACTGTTCAACTTCACATTTCATTTTCAATATTCTTTCAACCACTAATTTTCATTTTCAATATTCTTTCAACCACTAATATTTCATTATACATTACACTGCGTCTATGTTTCTTAAAGAATACATTAGATATATAAATCAATGGGGTTTGATTGTCAGAAAAAAGAAATAAAGGAATAACTTTAGAATATTTGAAATAAATAAAAGACTCATTTTAATCTCCTCATTTAACAAGCAAGCAAAATACTGAGTAGATGGTTTGTTTATAAAGGAAGTAAAAAGGTACATGTAACTGTTAGCACCCGCCGATAATTTAAAAACAAAGTAATTGTTATTTTATTTCTCTAGAAATAAGACGTCTTGTATACACAATTTTTACATATCTAAGAGCTGATAATACATCAGGAACAATTATTAAAGCAGCCATAATTAACAGAAGTATCACCCAAACACTCCCAGAAGCATTGGTAGAAGGACGAAAATCTTTCACAGATATCTTTTTTCTCAGAGCAGCCGAAGTTTCTAGAACAAGAAGTTCTTCTCGCATCTTCTCGATCTCTCTGATCAGTGCTTCATCACTAGTGTTTGTATACTTTGGCTCATGCACCATATTACAGGGACACATGCACTGTCCTAAAGCTGTCACAAAAGAAGCAATTATGAGAGATCTATATTTTTAACGATATTTTAGGTGGACGTAACTAAACATACTGGTGACTTTTGAATTCCCATGCCATAAATTGACATATCTTACACATGTATTATAAAATTAATTACGCTTGTGAGTAAAATTCATTTACTTTGGTGCGATTTTTCTTTTTTTTTTTTCTAGAAAACTTCTAAATACCTGTGCAATTTGGAGGTCTTCCATCCCATTCTCCATAAGAAGTACATTTTCGCTGAAGACTGCCGTTTGCTAGAATATACCCTTTGTTGCATTTATAACGCACTGTTCCATTTATAGATCGGTTTATGTGTGTAATTGTGCTATTTGGTGCCTCATCAAGCTCTGGACACAGGATTTCTTTGGTAGAAAATACAATTGTTTTAAAATCCCAGCTTTTCATAGATATATATTTTCATAGACAATTCCAATTTTTTTCTATGATAAGCGCCCTCATGCGGCATGGTTTTAGACACTCCATATCAAAAAAAAAAAAAAAAAAAAAAAAAAAAAAAAAAGAAACGCACAAATAATCGGAAGCTCTCAAATTGATTTTACGGTTATTCATAACTGAATAATAGTAGAGAAAAATAGAATTATGAAATTTAATCGATTTTGATGATAATGAAGTTTGTGTTTTATTTTTCGGCTTGTGTCTGTTTATGTCAGAGAGTTAGTGTGTGTGTTTCTGTGTGTGTAGGTTTTTGAATTATAGGTGGACAATAAACTGTGAAAAAAAACTTGGAATGGCATTATTTTATCTTTACATTTACCCAAGCACAAATTATCCTTTTATTCCTGTCTAACAGGATTCCAGATTAATCAATAATGAAATACAGGATTAGGGTCAATTACTTTGAGATGTAATTAAATATGTACTTTAAAATACTTTGATAATTTTGTGAATTACTTGCAATTACAATTACATTGATTTTAACAAACGTAATCAAATGCATATCAATTACTTTAGTTTTATTTCCAAAAATTTGAAGAACATATACATGAATATTTTGAAGCTGCAATTTTATTAAATTTGACCTTTCTTATTGCCCTGGGCAGTGCTTTTATGTTGTACAAACATTATAAGGCATTTAGTTATTGAATAAACGCAAACCCATGACAACAAGTACTGGTATGCATCATGATAAAACAACTTTTTAAATATGTACTTGAAAAATAAAGTATTTGAACTGTAATTGAAATGTAATTACATATATACAAAATACATGACATTTTTGGAATGTATTTAAATACATTCAATTACTTGTAATTGAAAACAAACTCAATTACAAATACTTTCAATTACTTTGAAAAAATGTATTTAAATACAGTAAATTACAATTACTTATTTCTATAACCCCAACCCTGGTGAGATACATTGAATATTTCTAGACACTCATTGTCTATTACCAGACATGGGCTAAACGATCAAAGTTTAAAAAAAATCTTTGCTTGGTTATTTTCATGACCTTTTTTTAATCTGACATTTTTGAAATGAAGTTCAATTTTAGCTTCAAAATCAGTGAAACAATAACATTTCTTAGTAATGATTCTTGTTATTTTTCCTTCGATAACAAAAAGCTTTTGTTTCTCGTAAATACAGTTGTACATGCTCACCTGAGCAGCTGAATGGTGCCCCATCCCAACTTCCATTTACGAGACAGGTGCGTTTGAAGATAGATACAGACGCCGCTATATAGTACCCGGGGTTACAGGTGAACGTAGCGCTAGTGTTAAAGGGAACACCAGACATCCCAATATTCGTCATGGAGTTGTTGTTCGACAATGTAACGATGCCATTTTCTGGATTTTCTATTACTGGACATAATATTTCTGTAAACACGAGTAAAGTTTAGGTAATAAGACCAAGGTAAATAAAATATGTGCATATAATTTATCAATTAAAAAAAGGAAATTCTTTTTAAATAGCTATTGACTCATGAGTATTCATTGTAAAAGCCCGCTCTTTCTTTGGCTCGATCTATCTCTCTATAGACATTGGAATAGATGGAAAGAAAAAATATTTTAGAAAGAAAAAATATTTTGTTTACATTTAGAATGAAAGTATTTACCAGAACAAATTACAGGATCTCCAACCCAAGTTCCATTGTCCAGACATGTGAGATTTGAATCTCCACCAGATAACTGAAACCCGGGATTGCAGTAGAAGTAAGCTGTTCCACCTACAGAGGTGTTCTGTATGAGACCTCCATGTTGAGGAGGAATCAGTGATGGACAGTAAATTTCTGTAGGAAAACAAGTCTTAATTTGATGCCGCAACTAGCACTACTATGCAAGTTTAGTGACAGTCAGCACTTTTGTAATCTGATACTATTACTATTAGTATCAATACTATTGGTACTATTACTTCATAGGTTTGTTAATGACTGTCAACAGAAAGTTTTGTCTCGTACTAGAATTTTGCTCTGTCATTGGATAAAGGACGTCATGTGCCTGCAGTTAATATTTCTTTGGACGACGAGTAGCAAAGTTTGGATGGCAACATAGCAGGTTGTTCAAGTCCATAGGCGCCGCAAGCCCCATGCATTGGTAGACGGAATATTCCTAAGTCAAATTTAGTATAAAGACAAGGGCCTAACAATCGATATGAATACTACCCAATGAGAGGTTTTATTTGCTGACAAGATCATTATAACAACAATTTATAAAATGTTGACCTAAGACGAGGTTGTTGAAATTCCTGTAACATCAACTTATCTCTCAGTAGCCTGTCCCAGTTTCAAAAATTGATTGTATTCAGAGCATGCTCTTGAGTATCAAGTTGGGAGACATAAACACCAAATGATAGCGGAAAATTACTACATGAATAAGGAAAGTTGACGATAGAAAAGCTGAAGTGATCTCGTTTGTCATACAGTTTATTATTTGTTAGTTTGCCATTATCGTCAAGTTTCTTCCTATGACTGGGTTGTGTTAAAGGAATGCTGTACGCGCGCTTAATTGATCTTTACCAAAGCCCTTGCTAATATACCAAACTACTAAAAATCAACAGATGGTTATTTATAGAGTTAATACATGTATTATCAACACAAATTTATTGTATCTATTTCAGTTCCATTGTAGTACCTGAACATACTGGGGGATCCCCGCTCCAAACACCATCCAACATGCAAGTTCTGCTCAGGTTTCCCGCGGAATTATGGAAGCCAGATAAACAGCTGTATTGTATGGTTCCATTTACTCCATTGTTTACTTCCACCACAATAGCATTTAAAGGAGTAAAAGTATCTGGACACAGTATTTCTGTGGAATGAACATGTTGAGATGCACACAATATGATAAGGTGGAATTAGCTAATTAGCTAAATTAGTCATGTTAATTTTACATATGTAAGGAATTCTAAATTTTCTTTTTTTTTTTAAACCTTTGGTAGCCTTTGCATTAAGTTCTCTCAGTTTATGATTTTCAAATTTATTTGAAATACCAAAACAAGGTCGAATAAGACGTCGATGAATTTATTAACCTTTGTCACAAGACTCAACCTTTCTCAGAAAAAAAAATATGCAGATAAATCAAATTATTATGCCTAGGTTTCAGCAAATTTTAGTCATAATATATTGGGACTTGAAGTCAAAATACAAACTATAGCTCCTTTGTTTTTGCAGAGGTTTAAAAACTGAACTTTTACTGTGACTCCATGATTTGGGACGACGATTTGTTCTCTAACTCGATTAAATGCATGTATTCCAATGGAAAACTTTGATCCTAAAACCATGAAGAGATCTACATCTATATATATAATTACGAGTTGATGTTTATTTAATAATAAGCTGATCAAAGTAATTTTGTTTTTGAGAATTTAAAAATAAACCTATATAATCCGATAAAAAAACTTCTGATCCTCAAGAGACTCCACTCAAACCTCGATGGGCTATAATTGAACCGACTGGAATCTATATATTAATATGACTGAGTGTTTCCTTTCATTTTGGAAAAAGATATGTTCATAGACCTTTTTGTACATTAAAATGTAAAACTTTGTTAACCTAGTGTGGACCAAATTGCTCCAGGAGCAATGATTTGAACAAACTTTAAACTTGAATTAGGAGATTTCCATACTTATACGGGTATGACTAAGGGTTGCTCTTCTGTTTTCGACAAAATATTTGATTTTTTTCTATGTATTCAATGTTGAACCTAATTGCAACCCCTACCTGGCCCCAGGGGCGGTATTTAATAAACATGAATTTTGGAAAGTTATTTGGGATGTTTGTATGTTAAAATAACTTGGTGGAGTCCCTGTGGTCATGGGATTTGTTTGTTTTTTATTTTAGAGATTTTTCACAAAATTCTTTATCATTTCCCCCTGAAAGGCATGCGGTCTTTAATCTTTTAAACTTGAGTCCATTACACCCATTCTTTGTGCAAATTTGGTTGAAATTGGTCCAATGGCTCTTTAGGAGAAGTCAAAAGATATACATAAAAAAAAAACAAACAACAGACAGACGACGGATGAACTTTGACCGTAAAGGCTCACATAAACATTCAGCTCAAACAAGTAAAAACTAGACAATACCAAACATATTACGCACGGGAACAGGTAGGAGGAGCTCCATTCCAACTTCCGGTGATAAGACACGTGAGTATCGCAACATCAGATAAGTTGAATCCTGGTGCGCAGGAAAAGGCGGCTGATGCATTTACGGGCAAATGCGGCATCACAGCGACTTGTGTGAGGTGAGGATGCGTTATAGTTACAGTGCCATTTTTTGGATTATCAAGAATAGGACAATATACCTCTGAAAAGTGAAAAAAAAAATAATGGACCTTAAACTACCGAAGAAAATTCAAAGTTAAAAAATGATTAAAATTTCTTAAAACAAGGTTAGCATAGTTATATTTTGCTTTTAGAATGCATCACCTGAGCATGCTGCAGCACTACCACTCCAATTTCCAATGTCTAAACAGGTTCGAGTGAGATTACCCCCCGTTATTACAAAGCCTGGATTACAACTGTAAACAGCCTCGTCATTGACAGATCTACCGGAACTTAAAACAACAGTACCATCTGTCGGATCCGTTAACGCAGGACATAGAATCTCTGTGACACAAATGATACAGTTAGGTACATTCTCCATTTGATCTCTGGGCAATTCTTTACAAATATTCCAGTGCGTATATATTCATAAGTATACCATCTATGATGGTGTAGAATCTTTATCATAATTATTGCCCTTGATATTTCATTTACATGTAATCCAGATAAACTTAATCTCAGGACGAAGACATCTTTAATTGAAAAGCATTCGACCAGGCAAATCTTCTGCCTCAATTTGACTTTCAACTACTACAAAGTTGACTGAATAAAAAACGAAGATAGTCTTTCTACTTTTTCGAGAAGATGTAGATGTAATTAAAAAGGCTTAAATGTAATGCATGAAAATTGTTTCATAAAATTTTTTACATTACACTTCCAAGTAGCTACTGATGTAATTGTTTACGATCACCTGAACATACGGGTGGATCCCCACTCCATGTGCCGTTTGGTAAACAAAATCTGCTTAGATAAAATCCAGTGTCACAAGAATATACCAATTCTCCATCCACCGTCCTGTTTACAGATACAACTGTGCTATTTTCAGGAGCATCAACATCTGGACAAAACGTTTCTGTATAAATGAAAACAATGGTGCCTAACTGTAACTTCATTTGTTTTAGTGAAAAAACTTCCAAATAAGTAATTGCAACGATTTTGAAATTGGTTTATTGGCTCATGAAACTTTTTTTAAAATGGAAAATAATGACTTATCCTTGAGCTCAGAAAATGTGAAAATAAAATGATGTGAACTTTTGTTTAAGGACAGATGATACAAACAATAAATGAATGCCTGGATGGGTATATTTTTTTTGTTGTCAATAGTGCAAATATTAAATTTCTAAGAAATGAAGAAATTGTAAACTTTCTACATGTAGGATGTCTTTCTGCAACCATCCTTATTAATCTATGCAACCTTTTTGTCTCTTTTGAAAAAAAAATCTATGCGGTTAAACTTATTCATTTTACTTAAATAAATATGACTTAAGCTTTTGTTTTCATGGTTTTTGATAAGAGTTTGTATCATCTGTCTTTTAGGGGGTTTTCTAGTGAGTTTTCCTATAGTATTATGCGAATTTACAACTGCGAGATTACATGTGCTTTATGATGATTGGATGAAAAATTTTATATTTTTTTACGGAACAACTGGTCCAATTTCAAGCAAACTTTTAATAATGTTTATATATTAGAAAGCTTGAGGTACAGCTGTATAGGGATCTCAAGGAATTCAATTTATACGGATGAGAGAAGAATATAATTTCTTTTTCAAAAATGTTTTTAAAAAAGAGGTTATAGGAAGGATCCATTTGGTATAGGTTATAGGAAGGATCCATTTGGTATCCAACACATGACCAATGGGGCTAGTTTAGGGCTCAACTGGGGGTCAATGTTTAAAAAGAAATACATAAGGAAGTATTGACTGATTGATTGTATGTTGTTTTACCTCCCGTTCTGGAATTTTTCACTCATATAGAGGCGTCACCATATACCGATGAAGAGCTTCAATTTAGACCTTTACTCGGCACTCAGGGCCATTAAGCAGTCTTTTTCGTGCCAACGCCTACAGTGAGAACAGGCCTCGGGTTTTAAGGTCTCATCCGAAGGGCCCGCAACTTTCACTTCAAAGTGCCGAGTGATTGGTAGAGGAACAGTCGCTACCTATTTTTTTTTTTATCGACTTAGGTCAGTCACGACCGAGCGACCGAGAAAGTATTGAAAAATTTCCTCTCGAGAAGGCACGATGAGTTAAATTAACATGCAAGCAACCCCAAAAGGAAAGAGTCAACTATGTTCAATTTATGGTTCAAAGGCAAGGGATAGTAGAAATTTTAAATAGAAAATTATACAGAGATACATAGAAAATCTTCCAAAGAACAAAAGGGAAAAAATTTTTCAAATCAATTTCAAAGCATTTTCATTTTCAATTTTGTGTAGCTTCAATTTCTTTAAGTCATCATCAAATGTCTTTTCTAAAAGCAGGACCATATTTTGTGAAATATATTTTGTCAAAAATATAATTGCAAGCATTTCTTTACGGGGGCGTTGAAGAGATCCAATATTTTAAGAAAAATTCTCAAGAACAGCAGGGTAATATTATAGGTCAAATAAATATACAAGTGTAATGAAATAGAATTAGCATTATGGATTGAAATAGATCTTGAATCATCCAGCCGAATCATGTATATGAAGCTAATCAGCATTGACATCTCAGCCAACCAAAAGTTTAGAATTATTAACCAATCCGTATTAATGGAGCATATGCATAATAGTATAAAAACAGGGGTCCATTTAGGTTTCGTTTACTTTTGGTGTAATTAGGTGTCTTGAGCTTGGTGTTTTGACTGTGTCGGGAAACAACAGAATTGATTGTTAGACCACTCAGCTCAGGGACCTAGTTCCCTAGTGTCTTTGTGCTATAGTGTCTCGGTGACTTTATCTTGTGTCTGTATCCAAAAGTAATACAGTGTCTTGATGACTAGCTATAGTGTCTTAAAGATAAAACCATGACGCTACAGTTCTGCAGCTATTGCAGGCTGTGTCAGGAAACAACAGAATTCTTTGTTAAACCACTCATGCAGTCTGCAGCATCAGAAATAAGTTAATTTATAGAGTTAGGTTGGAATGATTGATTTAATTGTGGTTGATTCTTTGTCATTGCTTTGTTTGACAATCATTATCCAGATGGGACCTAAGATAAAGTTTATATTACAGATTTCAGTCGGTTTTCTGCAAGTGCCATTTTGTAACTAATCAAAATTATTTTGATTTAATATAAGTGTGATTCTTAGGAAGGAAACATTAGCGGAGGACTCAATAAAAAAACATTTGTATTGGTAAAAAGTACTCAAGCATCCTTATTGAGAACTTAAATTGTTTAAATCATGTCAATGGGGCTAGGGTGAGGTTAAAATAGGGGCATAGATACATTTTCATAGACTTCATTAAAAAAAAGCATTATACATGTAATTTATAAATTTGAGACCAATCCTCATCAATATGAGGGTGTGTATATATATATATATATATATATATATATATATATATATATATATATATATATATATATATATATATATATATATATATATATGAGGGATGTCAAATCGGTCAATTTTTGATAATCGGTTACTCGGACGTTTTTCCGATCGTACTCGGTAAAAATGTAAATTTATACAAGTTATTTAAATTTTAATTATTAATTTATAAATACCCAAAGCTGTTTAAATCACGTTTTATGAATGTATATAAACATGGAGTCCAACGGAAATTTATTTATTAAATAAACACAAATGACGCAATTAATACATCAAAAATTACAAATGGTTTACGGTTCTTGTTTAGGATCTATTTCATCAATGCAAAAGGGGGAGAATCTGTTACGCAGGTTTGTGATGATTAGACTGGAACGGAAGTTGTTTGGATCGCTAGTCTTCACTGTGGAAACTTTTTGAATCTACTTATTTTGAAGTTGGTAGCGGTTTTTTCTATGCATGTCGTATATTAACTTAATAATGTAAAAATTATTTGAAGATAAAAGACCATATTAAACGATGTTCACTGAAAAACAATCATTGAAGCCATCAAAAAAATTAAGGACCACAATAGGTGAGAACGGCTGTGTACCAGGTGATTGGTCACTAATTACTGTATATACACAGCCATAGGCGATAACGGGTGTTTACATGTGTAGATAACGACAGGCTAATTACCTTTATGCATATTTAAGTTATTTTTTGATAAGATTTTGATAAAAATATGTACTTTGAAATAAGAAAAATATACACATCCGAGTAACCGAGTGCCATTTTTAGTATTCGATACTCGTATGATCGAGTACCCGATTAACCGGGTACTCGTTGACATCCCTAATATATATATACATACATACATACATACATATACATACATATATATATATATATATATATATATATATATATATATATATATATATATATATATATATATATATATATATATATATATATATATATATATATATATATATATTCCCTCAATACACATGTGAGTCATAATTCAAGAAATATTGAGAGCATCTTACCAATACATTCTGGTGCACTTTTCTTCCAAATTGCGTTTAGTTGACAATGTACCGTCTGGAAACTGCTATTAACAAAATGGTACCCATAATCACATGTCACTTTCTCCTCCGTACACGGCGGTACTATGTTTCTTTTGATTGTAGCTTTCGCTAATGTTAAATCTGTTTTGTTGCATATACCTAAAATATGCGCTTAAAGATGTGACACTTGCGAATTCTTTTTTTATATATATAGTATCATTCAATATACCGGCACGTCTCTCTTACATTTATACGGAAGTCCGTTGAGGCCAGTTCAGGGAAAGAAACATTTTTATTGCGTTTAAAAGCAATAATTATTGCATTTAAATGCAAAATATTGCGTTTAATTGCAATAAACATTGCGTTTAAACACAACAGATTGCGTAAACGCAATAATTTTTGCGATTAAACGCAATAGTTTTTGCTTTTAAAAGGCAATAATATTTTTGCGTATAAATGCAATAATTTTTGCGTTTAAACGCAATTATTATTTTGCTATTAAACGCAATACATTTTCGATTAAACGCAATAAATCTTTGAGTTTAAACGCAATAATCTTTGCGTTTACACGCTATAATCCTTCCTTTTAAGGGTTTGTTTTGCATTAAACACAATAATACTGTTGTTTCAAAATCAAACATTAATTAGCGAAAGCTTACAATTACTAGGATCCGACACTTCAAAGAGAACTATTTGATTCTGTGACTTTTTGAAAAATTTTCCAGTTTTTAAAAATTGTAGTAAAACAATGGCATCTTAACAACCAGAGTGTCTTAAACGTATTATAACCCAGCATTCTTGATGAAGCCTTTGATCAATTGCTTACGTATAACAACTAATTAAGAACGTTTCAGTGGTATTAATAGCCCCTGTCAATTTGGTAGTACATATCGATCAATCTGTTTTTATTTGAATTTAATCTCATATGATTCCATCGCCTATGTTCTCGTGTTTACTGTATGCAACCATAGGAAAGGTTGTAAATATACATTTAAGTTTAAATATTTCATTTAATTAAGTCTAAACACTTCTGTTGTACTCAATTCCAACATTTCATCCGTCGTTTCCTGAACCTCTTTATACATGCAGGGATTAAACGTGGGGGATATTTTTTGAACCATTTTTTCTTAATTCTTTAGACTTCTATTAAGAAGATCCATTCTAATTGTTTACAGAAATTGTTAAAAAGTAGACAAATAACAAAATAGAAAATGTGATTTGTGATTGTAAGCAATTGACCAAATCTTCATTAAAAATATAGAGATCTAATAAGTTAAAGACATTTCTTGTTCTACGTATGCCTTTGTTTTTATAACCCGACATTTCTCTTCTATAAATTCATATCAGCAATTTATCCTTTCAGAGAGCATTTGCTCGAAGCAATCTGATTCTATAAAGCTAGACAAAGCACAATTTCTTATAAGTGAAAAAGAGAAAGAAATAAAAGATAGTATTGTTGGGTCCATTGTTTGATACAAATGATTGCCTTTAAACACAAAGATTATTGCGTTTAAACGCAAAATTATTGATTTAAACGCAAAATTATTGCGTTTAATCGCAAAAAGTATTGCGTTCAATCGCAAAAGTATTGCGTTTAATCGCAAAATTATTGCCTGACGCTACGTGCGTCAGGTAGTATAAGGATTATTTTTTTCAAGATCCGAAACTAAGCGATCATTCTTATGAACTAGATTTTCTGGAAGCTGATTTACACTGGAATTTGTTACCTGCATTTAAACAAATACAGTTTGCAGAAGAAATAATCGTATTACTGATGCAAAATAATGATGTGTTTAATTCCTTCAGTTTTTTGGCATGCACATATTTATTCTTTGCGATTCTTTGTAAGGGCATGTCCGTGTAACATTTTTTCTGCGTTTCTAAACTACTGGATCAGTCCATTTGTCTTCTACGAAAGGGGTGACAATCATTTCGCGCCAAAGGTCACATGTAAATTACCTTCGCGCCTTTTTCTTGGATTGTTCTATTGAATGGGTGTGATAACTTCTATGGAAATAAATAACGTTTATTCTTTTATCCTGATTCTTAAGCTTCAGATTTTTTATTAACAGTAAATTTTATCTCATTTTTAAAAGAACACATTGTATATGGGCAGGTAACACTAAAGCAATGGATTTGCTGATTATTCTTACTATTTATCCCATAAGTGAACTAGTCCAATCATAAACAACTCACTCGACCTAATAATGGGACATCCCTTCTTGATTCAGTCTGTTTCTCACCTTTTCTTTCAATATTACATTTATTAATAATGTACGTTACAAGGTTAGGTTTTTAGAAAAAGCTTAGAAATAGTAGGTCAGTACCCATAGGGGAATGGACTTAACTCCCGTAAGGTTCTAAGCAAAGAATCGGCAAAATGAAGAAGACTGATCTGTACTAGTTTTCATTTCATATAAAAGCACGTTATTATAATTATGAGAAAAGTCCTGAAATCGATTGAAAAGAAAAACTTAACAATTTTAAAACTGCACATAAAGATGTATTTTTAAACTCATTTATAATACATGTACATGTATATGGTAAGACCATCAGCGCGTGAGTTTCGTCCGGGGTTGTGTGTTATTAGTATCTTGTTTTGCTCCAGCTATAAAGTGTGCAGTCCATTTACTTTGAGTTCTAGAGCTGCATTTTTATCTCAATCACTTCAAGAAAAGGCAGTTAAAACTGTTCATAATTTACTTCAACGTCGAGAACGACGGAAAACAGACCAGTCTATAAAAAGAGGCCGTCTCATCAATCTATCACTGACCAGAGAAGCGCACCCTCTAGTAAGAGAGTACATGTAATATGAATTTCTTTAGAATCATCTAATTATTTTCCCCAAAATTATATCTACGCTATCGCACTTAGAGTTTCATCCCGACGTAACTTGTCAGTCCGTGGGCTAACTAATAAATGATTGAATAGTGGCATGTCTTAGATATTCGTTAATCTGCAGTATTTGGTTATGAGATTTGAGAAAGTCAATTGTACATCTTGTGTAATGAAGTATCGCAACTATGTCGCTCCTTGATGACGGAAACGTTTAGCACCTCTCTTGCTTACATGTATACGTTCCATAGATATTGCTTGATTAGTCAGGCAAGCTTTTTGAAAAGCTATTAATCGTTCCGTTTAAACACAAGAGATTGCGTTTAATCGCACTCTTTCGCAATTAAACGCAATGTGTTTTGCGCAATGATTATTGCGATTAAACGCAATAATTTTGCGTTTAAACACAATAATTTTTTTTTTCTATAAACTGGCCTCAACGGGCTTCCGTACATTTAGAGTGATTGTGAGTTTAAAATGCTGTTTCTTTATATATTACTGAAATTTAAAATAGTACTTAACAATTTTAAGTTTCGTACTTATCTTACATAAAACTTAAATATATGTTAAGAATATTTACTTATGAAAATAGCAGTTGAAAATCTAAGATGTATAAGGAAATTTCAGCGTACTAACAAAAAAAAAAGGCCTATTTCCGAAAATATATCGCGTCACGTGATTTAAGAACTTAACCTCTTGACATCATTCCAAGAGCGATAATGTCAATCTCCACGTCATTAGTTTGTTGGCTATATTTTCCGCCTCCCCACGGACTACTGATATCAAAAACAAAAGATCTTGAGGTAGGCTTGACCCTCCAGACGTACACCCCAAAATTGTTGTAGCCAAACACCAGACCCGTGTATCTTTTACTTGCGTCATAGCTCCCGGATGTCACTACTGAACCAGCGCCATAAAATGAGAAACCTACGTTTGGACCATCCACGGGTCGAATCTGTAAACAAATTATCGTTACATGTACATGTACATAGGCTTCAGAGATATGTACGAACTATTAATTTTTGGAAATTTGTCAAGTTCTATCTCAGTGTTTTGTTCTGTCAACAAGAATGCACATAAAATATATAATACGCAGTGAAATAAAGCGAAGTAAAAATAAAGCGAACTAGATGAGATCTCGTTGCGAGCAACGAGTAGGTCTTCCGTCCCATTTTTCGATAAGATGAGATATGATTTTGACCATGATCTTTGTTAAAAGATAATAATATATATAGACTTCCCTAATTAGATTTCAATCCTTTGATTTTATATACATTATCAAAGAGCTATCGATGAATTGCTTTTGGCCCCTCTGAGCCCCTAATTTGAAGGGTCAGCCCCCTGTTCTTGATATCAAATGAAAGGTCTCGAGAATTTGAAGACTTTTTGTTCAACAACTATACAGAGATTTCTTTTCGTTGTGGAGATATGCTGAATGGAAATATTTAGGGGCCACCCCTCCAAGTCCTTAATGGGGCCGATTGACAAAAATTGAAAGGGTGCATATTGTTTAGAACATTATTCTGACCATCTTTTGTTCAGTATTGCTTATCAAAATATTCCCCCTTTTCGAGATATAAAGCGTCAAAGATTTAGCATTCTGGCCCCTTGTGACCCCTTATTACGTAACATATGATCAGAATCTTATCATATATTGTTGTAAATTGTTAAGATAAACATTTTTGCTTCAGTAATGTATAACAAAATATTGATCGTTAAAAAGTTATAGATGAAAGACTTTTGGCCCCTCTGAGCCCCTTACTTGAGGGGTCAGCCCCTTTTTCTTGATATCAAATGAAAGCACTTATCATTTTGCACAACTTTTGTTATATATGTTTTAACAAAATATTTACAGGTATAAAGATATGATAGAAAACTTGTCAAATTTTGCGAGATGCTTGTGAGCCTATTTTTCGAGCCCAGGCGAGCTTTGGCGCCTTTTGCGCTGGAAAGATATGGACGCAAAAAAGCATATCTACAATCCCTCCTCTACCTTCACTGAAAATCTCAACTCAATATCTTTATTCGTTTTGGAGTGATTACCAGGACAAGCCGACCCTCTGAAAATCAGATAATTGTCTATATCTCACGACCGGAAGTGACGTCATCAATATAAAAAATTTCCAATAAGGTTCAGATCAATATCTATCAGATCTGAAAGTTTCATGAAAATCGACCGAGTCGTTTCCGAGAACTCGCGTGCACAAAATCGGTAAGAAAAAAAAAGAATAATAATAATAATAATAATAATAACTAGATGAGATCTCGTTGCGAGCAACGAGTAGGTCTTCCGTCCCATTTTTCGATAAGATGAGTTATGATTTTAACTATGATCTTTGTTAAAAGATAATAATATATAGACTTTCCTAATTAGATTTCATTCTTTTGATTTATATAACATTATCAAAGAGCTATAGATGATATGCTTTTGGCCCCTCTGAGCCCCTAGTTTGAGGGGTCAGCCCCTTTATCTTGATATCAATTGAAAGGTCTTGTGATTTTGAAAACGTTTTGTTCAAGAAATATTCAGAAATTTCCTTTCGTTGTGGAGATATGCTGAATGGAAATATTTAGGGGCCACCCCTCCAAGTCCTTAATGGGGCCGTTTGACAAAAACTGAAAGGGTGCATATTGTTTAGAACATTATTCTGACCATCTTTTGTTCAGCATTGCATATCGAAATATTCTCTCTTTTCGAGATATAAAGCGTCAAAGATTTAGCATCCTGGCCCCTTGTGACCCCTTATTACGTAACGTATGATCAGAATCTTATCATATATTGTTGTAAATCGTTAAGATAAACATCTTTGCTTCAGTAATGTGTTACAGATTATTGATCGTTAAAGAGTTATAGATGAAAGAGTATTGGCCCCTCTGAGCCCCTAATTTGAATGGTCAGCCCCCTCTTCTTGATATCAAATAAAAGGTCTTGTGATTTTGAAGACTTTTTGTTCAACAACTATTCAGAGATTTCTTTTCGTTGTGGAGATATGCTGAATGGAAATATTTAGGGGCCACCACTCCAAGTCCTTAATGGGGCCGTTTGACAAAAATTGAAAGGGTGCATATTGTTTAGAGCATTATTCTGACCATCTTTTGTTCAGTATTGCTTATCAAAATATTCGCCCTTTTCGAGATATAAAGCGTCAAAGATTTAGCATTCTGGCCCCTTGTGACCCCTTATTACGTAACGTATGATCAGAATCTTATCATATATTGTTGTAAATCGTTAAGATAAACATCTTTGCTTCAGTAATGTGTTACAGATTATTGATCGTTAAAGAGTTATAGATGAAAGAGTATTGGCCCCTCTGAGCCCCTAATTTGAATGGTCAGCCCCCTCTTCTTGATATCAAATAAAAGGTCTTGTGATTTTGAAGACTTTTTGTTCAACAACTATTCAGAGATTTCTTTTCGTTGTGGAGATATGCTGAATGGAAATATTTAGGGGCCACCACTCCAAGTCCTTAATGGGGCCGTTTGACAAAAATTGAAAGGGTGCATATTGTTTAGAGCATTATTCTGACCATCTTTTGTTCAGTATTGCTTATCAAAATATTCGCCCTTTTCGAGATATAAAGCGTCAAAGATTTAGCATTCTGGCCCCTTGTGACCCCTTATTACGTAACGTATGATCAGAATCTTATCATATATTGTTGTAAATTGTTAAGATAAACATTTTTGCTTCAGTAATGTATAACAAAATATTGATCGTTAAAGAGTTATAGATGAAAGACTTTTGGCCCCTCTGAGCCCCTAACTTGAGAAGTCAGCCCCTTTTTCTTGATATCATATGAAAGCACTTATCATTTTGCACAACTTTTGTTATATATGTTTTAACAAAATATTTACAGGTATAAAGATATGATAGAAAACTTGTCAAAATTTGCGAGATGCTTGTGAGCCTATTTTTCGAGCCCAGGCGAGCTTTGGCGCCTTTTGCGCTGGAAAGATATGGACGCAAAAAAGCACATCTACAATCCCTCCTCTACCTTCACTGAGAATCTCAACTCAATATCTTTATTCGTTTTGGAGTGATTACCAGGACAAGCCGACCCTCTGAAAATCAGATAATTGTCTATATCTCACGACCGGAAGTGACGTCATCAATATAAAAAATTTCCAATAAGGTTCAGATCAATATCTATCAGATCTGAAAGTTTCATGAAAATCGACCGAGTCGTTTCCGAGAACTCGCGTGCACAAAATCGGTAAGAAAAAAAAAGAATAATAATAATAATAATAGGGAAAAAGAAACCGAACGAAAACAATAAGGTCTTCCGTTGGAGACGGAAGACCTTAATAATAGGGAAAAAGAAACCGAACGAAAACAATAAGGTCTTCCGTTGGAGACGGAAGACCTTAATTATTCGAATTAAATTGCGTTCACACGGCAGTAAACTAATGCCCTGTTCACACGGAGAGTTTAATTCGCAGTTAATTAATGCGCAGTAAACTATTTCGAATTAAACTAATTCGCATTAAATTTTTGAACTCGGATCAAATTTAATTCGCAGTAACTTACGTTTAATTCGAATTAACAGGGCACTAAATGAATGACGTACCTTCACCATCACAAGAGAAGCTTCGGTTACCACTTCACGCGTGAATATCATCTTCGGAGTTGTTTGTACAGATTCTGCAATGTCTGTTGTCAATGTTTCTTTCCATTGACATGTGTTCACTGCATTGTCAAAAGTCCAGGCGAGAATCCTGACTTTCACTTCCGAGGACATTAAACGGTATTCAGTTGGATAGTCTTCGTCTCCCCATCCGTCTGCTGCACTAGTTATCGGATCTAGCAATTGTTGGAATATTTCCTTAGATTTGTTTGATATATGTTATTATCATTTTGATATACATATAATCGAAAGCTAGAAAAAAATAATGTTTTCTTACAGTTCAATTTAACCCATAGCCGAACATGAGAAGCGTTGTATGCAAATGACAGTCCACCAGCTTGTTCACCACAACCAAGACATCCCGGAACGCCTATGTCAGATTAATTAATAAAAATAGAGATTTATAAAAACGAAATAGTGACTACTTTCTTCAATTCTTGCTTGCAGAAAATAATTCAATTTTATTAAAGTTTTGTTTGAAAATTAAAGTGAACAATTGCTACAAAACTACCGCCTCCTTCCGCAATTAGTCCCGGCATTTCGTCCAAAATTGTTATTGGTTCAGCTTGGACTACAATCATATCTGGATTTGAAGTCAAATTGATGGGCACCTCTAAGTGAGTTTTATCTACAAAAGAATGGCATGTCAAACGTTGCAATATTCGATATTTTCCATCTGTATTGTATAATTTTTATATGTATTCAATAATTTTTCATTTGTATTGTAAAATTTTTATTTGTATTCTATAATTTGCCATTTGTATTCTATAATTTTCTATTTGAAATTCTACAATTTTTTATTTCTATTCTATATTTTCTATTTGTATAGCAAAAAAAAAAAAAAAAAAAAATAAACCATTCGAATTGTATAATTTTTTATTTGCATTATATACTCGATGCCAAACAAAAGATAAATTTTATATTCTTTTTGTTTGCTAAAAAAAAGCTGAGAAGTAAATATATTCGTTTTGTTTTTATTCAACTTTAGATCCATTTAAATTTTTATTTGATTTGCAACAGGGACTTGAATAAATTGTTTAAAAGGTTCTTCCTAGTGGTGTTAAGTTTGCCGATAATTCATATTTGAACATTCAGTGAGCATGTTAATATATTAGAATAATCGAGAAAATAAATAAAATCTGATTTATCTTCATAAGAATCATCCTACCCTCATGATACAGTAGGAATTTTTTTACGTTGGTATTAGGAAATAGAATTGGGTGTAGACTTTTGTTTTTTGTTTGTATGTTGTTTAACGTCCCTCTCGAGAATTTTTCACTCATGTGGAGACGCCACCACTTGCCGGTGGAGAGCTGCAAATTTTGTCCTATACTCGGCACTTACGGCCAATGAGCAGTGAGGGATCTTTTTCGTGCCAGCACCTACTGCGACACGGGACCTCTGTTTATACGATCTCATCCGAAGGACCGGTCTCCACGTCCCACAGTGGGATTCGAACCCGCGACGTAAGGATCAACTCCTTACTCCGCGACTCTAGAGCAGACGCTCTAACCACTGTGCCACGCGGGCGACTGTAGACTTTTGTAGGCATACTGTAAGGAAGTCTACATGTCTGTCAATGTTTGAAATAATACTGAAACCTAAACATAAATCTGAAAAATGAAATTTTGAAGCTCCAAATGATGAAACCAATCGTCTTAAAAAAAGACATGATTGTTACTGTTTGGGCTAAAATATTTAATAATTGTCGACCTAATTAGAAAAAATAATAATCTTTGATGTATGCTTTGAAAATATTAACAAACATATCCAAACTTGCGACAATTTTTCTTAATCAATCTCCCGAAAATGCTTTTTAATTTTGGAACACGTAGGACCCCAAGATATACAAGTTATTCAAGGATTAATTGGGAACATAAGCCCAGTACAACAATACAGACTGATGAAACATGTAATTAAATGAGTACTATGAAAATAAAAGCGAGTAAAAGACACTGATGTTTCTCGCGAAATTACGCGATAATTAATTCCTCGCGTAAAAGGAATGTACAGTATCACAGGGATAATTCCCACTCTCCGGAACAAGAGAAAGTATATACTACATGGTTATTTTTTTTTTAGAAATAAAAATTTCGTTTAATTAACTGAATTCATTAATATGACGACTGTAAATCACTTTTTTATTCCCGAGAACTTTATTAACGCTAGACCGCGTACTCGCGAAAATTTTAATCCCGCGTATACTTATGTCACTAAAGTTTATTTAGAACAATAAGCAAAATTTCGTGAAAATTAATTATGTTTCGCTATTATAATACCAAATGTCTGTTTTACGAAAATAAGTGTCACAAAAATTTTGTGATCTACATTATATCCCTTTTAAGGACCCTCTATACACCACGACAACTGTTTTTTGGACTCTAAGAAAATTATAACATATAAAATTTTATCTATTTAATTTTTAGTATAGAGTGCCTGTCATTGACCCCCACCCCCCCCAAATAAAACTAATTGAATTGCTTGAATTGATTACAAATTGACTTTAGATGTCAATTTATTTCATTTTAGATATAAGAGCAGATCACTCTAACTGCAGAAAAATACATGTACCATGGAATTAGACCTCTTTAGTGTGCAATGTATAGAGGGTTCCTAAACAGTTCACATTCCTATTTTACCTTGATGTCCTGATTCTATTGTGTATATGAAACCAGAATCGTACTGTGGGGGCAAATCGTCATATCGCCACATCTTTACTCGAACTTCCGCATCAACAAATTCATTTTTAATTTCCTCGTTTGAATGAGAGGTTGGTTGGTACCAAACGTCCTTTATTCCTTTTAAAATAAATTTTAACATTACGAACCATTTTCCAGATTGCAACATAGAAATAGTGTTAACAAATGTACAAGTCCCGTAACAAATATTTTTCTTCATAAAAGTCAAATACTAAATCTAAATATATTAGAAGTTGTTATTAAAATATATCTATTGTTAATGCATTATATATGAAAAGTAAAAAAAAAATTAAGTTTGTTTTATTTTTATGTACATCAATACATAGTAGTGTTGTAGTAATGTACAAATAGTAAACATAATCACAAAAAATACATGATTTATTTAATATTTAAAAACAGCTCGTATTATCTCGAGATAGTTCTATCATTAGTTGGGCCTTTCTCCAACTTGACGGTACATTTTTAAAATGCTGGAATTTACCACTATTCGGCCGTAAAGCAACAAAAAGGTTGAGGCGGGCAGCTTCCAAATGAAAATTTACATATTTACATATTAAAACTACATCAAAAAATTTCTCAGAATAAAGAATAAGTGGAGGGCGCCTCCTCTGTCCCCCACCCTGCGTACTACGGGCCTGCTCTAAAAAATTATGCCTGATACTAGTATGTCAGAACATTTCAATCATACAATATATATATATATATATATATATATATATATATATATATATATATATATATATATATATATATATATATATATATATATATATATATATATGTCTTCATAAATCAAATTATCAAGCAGTGAAAACACTACCAAATCTACCAAAGATTCGTCCTAAAGATTTGAATAATGAATTTCAATAAGAGACTAAACTGAGATATAACCATTGCTTATCGATATGTGAAATCTGGAGATCAATACATTTTATATGAAACTAATTATATATACAAAGGACGTTTCAAATAGAAGATAGAATCATTGTGAAATATTAAATTAGGGTACGGTAATTTTGTTTTCCTACTGAAAAGGAATATTCTAGTTGCGAGCAAGAGGCCTCTAAGGTCACCTGAGTCATCTATTGTTACATGTATCTGTGTTCGTCCGTCGTGGTGAGTTATTCGTCTGTTGTAAACTTTTGTGCATGTTTCAGCTTTTTCTCTGGGATGGCTGAAACAATTCTAACCAGGTCTGGTACATGTATGAAGAAATTTGTGAATTTAATGGTCTCTTCCTCCCTTGGGGACTGAGGGATGTGGTAAAAACTATAAAATTTATGTGATCTTCAAAAATCTTCTTTTTACTCCTGTTGATAGCAGTCTAAAAATGTGTGCTTCACTCATGGACAATGAGAAGGAAAAAACTGCATTATTATATTGTGTATTTAACTCTACCAAAGTTGTATTATTCATGGCTTTTTGTTCCTGCATTCAGGCCCCAGGATGGGGCTAAATCGGACATGCTAGTAATTTACAAATACATTACGTTTTTGAAAATTGTCTTCTTTTAAAAAGACATCTAGTTGGAAAACTACGGAACCCCAATAGTGCAAACCAAAAAAATAAGAAACAGAAAAACGAAATTATTATATAGAGAAAACGAAATTATTAAATAAAAAACTGAATTATTAAATAAAAAACGAAATTATTAAATAAAGAAAACGAAATTACTAAATAAAAAACAAACGGAATTATTAAATAAAGAAAACGAAATTATTAAATAAAGAAAACGAAATTATTAAATAAAAGACAAACGAAATCATTAAATAAAAGACAAACGAAATAATTAAATAAAAGACAAACGAAATTATTAAATAAAAAACAAACGAAATTATTAAATAAAGAAAACGAAATTATTAAATAAAGAAAACGAAATTATTAGATAAAGAAAACGAAATTATTAAATAAAAAAACGAAATTACTAAATAAAAAACTGAAACTGAAATACGGAATTTTATAGATGTGCATGGTAAGGGCCTGAACCAATGAATCATTCCATAAAGCGCACGTGTTATAAAGCATCACTTAGTAATTCTATAGACCTGATTTTGTTTCGACATTGAAACAAGTGTGGGGGAAATGAAAAATAAAAAAAAACAAACTTAGATAAATGTCAAATTGACAAACGTAGAAAAACATTATGTGCCCACAGCCTATAATTCGTATTGTAAAGTAAATGATTCATAACTGTTCAATTTTATTTACGGGAATTTGATGCTGTGTTGCATTCCCACAATGTCAAAGTTTGAGCCTGTAAGCCTGGACGTAGCGAGGATGGCTGTTTCTGCTTACATAAAATTAATGACATTCCAAAAGAGCTCATGAATCGCTGAAAGGTCAAGACCTTGCGTATCGTATTGATGCATTTCAAAATAAACAACCAAAACAACATTGGAAATTAATTAATGACCTAAAAGATGATAATAAAGACAATTCTGCCGCAAATATAGATTCTGAAACGTGGGTAAATCATTTTTGTAACCTTCATTCTGTTTGTGATAACTCTTTTAAATCAAGGATACAAGAGCTAGGTTTAATTTTGGCTGACATGGAGAAAAATCCATCCTTTAATGAACTGGATTTCAAGATTTCACATAAGGAAATTGTAGATGCGATAGCAAATTTAAAATATGGAAAAGCCAAGGGGCTTGATTTGATTTCTAATGAAATGTTAAAACATAGTCAGTCCTATTTACTCTCCTGTATACATGAGCTCTTTAATAGTTGTTTCACATACGGTATTTATCCTCAAACTTGGAGTAAAGGGTACATAAGTCCAATTTTTAAGTCTGAGGATCCAAACAACCCTGCAAAGGACAAGATAGGCTAAGACCCCTTTTTGGCCCCTGGTTTGGGGTGTTATTTAGAATGATGCAACAGTTTATTAATAAAAACCTTTTGTCACCCCTGCCACAAAATGAGTATTGGTTCTAAGTTATGGGATACACGGAGGTCACAGGAAGGTCAGAAAATGTATCAATTTCCGAATTTTCTCATTTTTATGCATATTTTCGTCAATTTTACAGCACATTTTGTTTCAGAAAACATAGAGCACAAGCTTGCCTATCTACCAAATTTATATATTTCATACACTAGTATCATATGCATCTTATGTATAAAAATCTCAGATAGGCAAGCTTGTGCTCTATGTTTCCCGAAGCAAAACGTATCTCAACTTTGACGAAATTCCACCAGAATTGTGGAAATTCGGGAAAATGTCCTACTTCTGCACCCTCTTGTGGCCTCTGTGTAAGCTTTGAATCAGAATTAGTGCTGGTTTTAACACAAGCATCATTTTAAGTTCTTAACTACAAACTAGACACAATTTTAACTGTGTTCTGATTTTTACATCAAATAAGGGGCTATATTCGGCCATTACCATACCTTGTCCTTATAGGGGTATTACAATTACCAGCACACTTGGCAAATTATTCAACAGCATTCTGAACTCTAGATTAGATAAATTTCTTAAAGAACATAATCTAATTCACCAATCTCAAATGGGTTTTACCAAAGATGCAAGAACATCTGATCATCTATTTGTGCTAAGGTGTTTAATTGATAAATACTGTAGCTTAAAAGAAGGAAGACTATTTGCTTGTTTTATTGACTTTCATAAAGCTTTTGACAGCGTTATCCACACAGGATTGAAGCTCATATTACTTCACATGAATGTTGGATCTAAATTTTATAATATTATAAGTAATATACATAAGAATAGTCAGGCATGTGTGAAAATTGGAAGGTTCTTCTCGGATCCATTTCCAATAGCTATAGGTGTCCGTCAAGGGGATAACTTGAGCCCTTCTTTATTTAAAATATTTATAAATGATTTTCCATCATATTTAGATTCATGTATTGATGAAGTATCACTTCAGACAAAAACTGTTAACTGTTTAATGTATGCAGATGACATTGTTATTTTATCATCATCAGCTCAAGGTATACAAGCAAGACTTTCTAAACTTGAAAAGTATTGCTCTGATTGGTGTTTAAAGGTAAACATTCAAAAAACTAAAGTCGTGATCTTTAATAAAGCTGGTCGTAATTTCACGCAAAAATTAATGTTTCAAAATAATAGGATAGACTGTGTATCTAGGTACAAATATCTTGGAGTTCACTTAACTGCATCTGGAAGTTTTCATGTAGCAAGATCAGAGCTTTATAAAAAGGCGTTAAAAGCATATTATAAATTGAGAAATGATTTTATTAATTTGAATCCTGGGATTAAAACGAGTATACATGTATTTGACTCTACTATTAAACCAATTCTTTTGTATAATGCAGAGGTGTGGGGTGCAAGTAATCTCAATACTAAATGATTCCTAAAATGCCAAAAGTTAGAAGTTGAAGACTGTTTCAGAAATCTACTTTGTGAAAGAATACACCTTAAATTCTGTAAATATATTCTTGGTGTTCATAAGAAAAGTACAAATTTTGCAGTATTGTCTGAATTGGGAAGGTTCCCCCTGCATTATGATATTGTCAAATTGTTAATCAAAAGTTGGTATAGATTTGAAAATTTGTCCACAGAATATTTCCTTTACTTAAAGATGCATATAAATGTAGTAAAAATCTTTTTGTACATGGAAAGAACCCATGGTTCGCATTTGTACAGAAATTAAGAAATATACTGAATATCAAAGATGAAGTAATTTGTTATGGGAAGCATAAATTTAAGTCACTCTGTCATAAAACCATATTAGATTATTATGTAAAAAATTGGTATACAAGTCAACAAAGTTATACTGATGGTAAATTAAGCACATATGTAAAACTCAAACAAAATTGGGGTTGTGAGAATTATTTATCAGTAGTTAAAAATTTTCATCACAGAAAATCTCTATGTAAATTAAGAATTTCTTGTCACAGATTGCAAATTGAAGTGGGAAGATTTACCAACATCCCTCGAGAAGATCGATTATGCAATAGATGTAACTCTAACAGTGTAGATGATGAAACTCATTTTCTCATAACATGTAAAAAATATGATCATCAAAGAAAAGAAATTTTTCAATCAATAAAAAGTAAATTTCCAAATTTCTCGGCATTAGATGATGAACAAAAACTTTTTTGGTTACTCAGTACTGAAGACAAAGAAACTCTTAATTCTATGGGCAAATTCATAAATGATAACATGTTGTAGTAGCCATACAGTTTTATATATAGTATTCCCTTTAACTGAAATAATACAATATCATTGTTGAAATGAGCAGTGTCATTTACAAATTGTTGTACTATCCATTGGCATATCTTTTCTTTATTATTGTAATAATTTCATACTTGTCTGTTATGGGCTCTAAATTAGAAAATAAATGATCTGTTCTGTTCTGTATTGCTGAATTCCCCCCGAACTAAATCTAGCGCCCTCTCTGTGTACCCCCATAAATCTTATGTTGTTGAAAAAATAAAAAGAATGATTTGAATACTTTGTTGGATTTGTTATGCAAGTGTGTGCATTGTTTGTTCACAACTATCACTGACTTATAAATGCAGATTGAGAATCTGTCATTTAGAAGATGTGAGAACAAATAGTTAGTGCATCACTTCTAATTATGCTTTGATAAAATGACCAAGAAATTAGAAGTGTTTTGCTTAATTTTTAATAAAGTAAGCAGTCATTAAAATCTACTCATTGTAACAACTTTGTCTTGTTTAATTTTTGCACTTGCTCTCATTAAACATTTTTTTACAATGGGTTCCGATCGGTAACGTATCATTTTACAGCATTTTTTTGTACTGTGCTATAATTGAAAAATGATGTATAGCCATGGGAATTTCCTAAATGTTATAAGATTCAGCAGTTGTAAACAACGGATTCTTAAGGGACATGTATATCTTAATATTTGTGCAATTTATTAGCATGATCTCTTTGATGTTTCATGTCCAAACTCTTTGTTTGCTAATAATTAGACCTTCTGAGTTGAGGGTTTAAGAAAGCTAATGTTAACGTAAACTTCTCATCACTGGCCAATTCATCAAACTGGTCAAAGTTCACATTAATCATGTTAATGTAAGATAAAAACATAGATCTAAGCATATTGGATAACCAAAGGTAAAATTCTCCCCTATTCATCTATTATGATTGTCTACTCCAACTGGTTATGTTATCGATACGGGAATAGCTGAGTGTAAATGCAAATATCACACTTGTTTTAATGTCGAAACAAAATCAGGTCATAGAAGACGTGTGCTTTATGGAATGATTCATGGGTTCAGGCCCTTACCATCCACATCTATAAATTCCGTATTTTAGTTTCAGTTTTTTTATTTAATAATTTCGTTTTCTTTATTTAATAATTTCGTTTTCTTTATTCAATAATTTCGTTTGCTTTTTATTTAATAATTTCGTTTTCTTTATTTAAAAATTTCGTTTTCTTTATTTAATAATTTCGTTTTTGTTTATTTATTTTTGGTTTGCACTATTGGGCTTCCGTAGATAACTAATTATATAATTTAAGGAGTACTTAACCCTATTTCTAAATTATAAAGTTGTTGTCCCTTTCATATAGCTTAAGACCGCACGGTGAGTCTAAGTTGATCAGACACTGAAAATACACTATACGGGTGACAGAGAAACGGCTGTTTACATGATTATAATTAACACTCACCCTCTACCAAAATTTTAAAATTCATGGCCCCCTGATCAATGGTTCAGACCCTAGGGTTGGGCTAGGTTGGTCATTTATTGCATTGCATTACATCATTGAATATCTTTTTAAATATCATAGATATCTACAAGACAAATTGTTTGCATTGTTATAATTATCTGTAGGCCTGTAATAAAATTATAAAATAATTTATGTCTCCGATGTCTATGGGTCAGGCTACAGCGTGTGGCTCAGTTGGATGTACCGGTATATGGGAAATTTATTAACTTACCTTCAGAACTTGTATGGGACAAACTGTATGGATATAACAATGATTATACAGTCCTCAGAACAGTAAAAAAAAATGTTGTCACATGGGGCCAGAGTTCCATTTCCAGGTTTGGCTAAAGTGGTGAAACCAGAGGTACTCATAATATACTAAGGTTACCATCAAGGCCCATGGGCCTCTTTTTTAAGTCTTATGGTCAGTTACCAACAACAAATTTACTATTTCTAATTTCAAAATAACTAGGAGATACTAAACTTTTTTTCTGTACACCATATATAGCTCTAAAAAAGTTAAGATGCTTAATTGCAGATTTTTACATATTTAAAAACATAAAGGAGTGAAGAGACCAGTCTTTGCATATATTTACATCATGTATTTGCTTTGGATTAGATTGACAACATTTTTTCACTCACTTGTCTTTTTCCTTATCTTATGAAATATTTGCAAAAATTGTGATTCATGACATTTGCGAAAAAATTTTGAATTTATATTGATATTCACTGAAAACTAAACCTTGATTGTTCTGTTATTTTTAATGCACAGGTCTGGAATGGTCTTTATATTACGACCAAATTATATATTATGTTTAATTTCAAAATACAAAGAAACAAAATAAAAGTAAAGAAAAAAAAAAACAAGTTTACAAACCTAGATATACAGCTTTCCCATCATCATCTCCACGATACCTGTTTGGCAAGAAAATAAGCACACCACTTGCATTGTAGAAATAAACAACCCCGCCATATTCCTCATTTTTGTCATCATCTCGTGGTGAGGAACCGAAAGCGTTAAAGATGAACGATTCTCCATCATCTTCGACTTTTACTTCAACTATTACTTTGACAGGTCTGGTTGTTGTTTTAAAACCATCCAGAAAAGGGACGTAGAATTCACACTTATTGTCATCTTGAGCTTCTACGGTGATCCATTCACTGGTAAATGTTGGTTCATAAAGAGTTATTCCTTCTGCAATTTCGATTGATAAACATGAACATTATTTCATTTATAATTCGGTAATCAGAGGCAGATATGTTGGTTCATAAAGAGTTATTCCTTTTGGCAATTTCAATTAATAAAATATAAGCTTGAACATTATTTCATTTATTATTCGGAAATCAGAGATTGTTTTACTAACAACTACCCAGATTCGCCTGTAAGTTTTAAATAAAAATAAAAAAAGAGAAACTAGGAAAGTATAATTGCTATTCATTTAAGGTTCATCACCCTTCTGCTCACTCATGTTTTTTTTTTCCTTACCAATCATGATTTTCCAAAAGAAATATCATTTATAACTAAAATGCACATAATTTCAACATACTTTGCCGGGCAATTTTTTTAAGAATGGCCTACATGAATTAACTTGACAATTTTATAAAGAAATAATAGTAATTTATCCCAATGAGAGTTATACCTCTTATCAGAGGGTCAATGCACCTGAAAATTTTTTCCTAATTACGGCACCTTTATTATGGCGTACTAGTATCTTTGATGAGAACGTATATGATATCGTTGTCAACTTCGTGAATTAAAAAAAGCAAACAAACGATATTTAAAATATATGAAACACTTAATTCTATGAACCTTTTTTTTTTCAAATACCTACCACTGTATAACACAAATCCAATATGAAAGAAAGCATGCAAAAATTGTGCATTTGTCATTTTTCTTTATCCGATGTGTGAAAGTGAATTGTCCAATATTTACTGCTCGGTAATTGACTTTGTCAGGTGACTTCTCTTTGAATGATCGATGAGAAGTAAAATTGTAGGATGAAGTCGATGATTCCTTTATGATAAATATTGCTGACACATAATCAATAAAGAGGAAGTGCTCTGAGAAGAATATGATTTTTTTTCTCGAAAAACAATTCGCCAATTTTCTTATCTATATATAGCTGATGATATCGAAAACAACTAAATATGACAATTCAAATTGAGACGTTCTCCTATGTGTTTATTATAGTTCATATCTTTCATCTACTAGTTTTTAACTTACTACGAGGAATGCTTCCAGATTTTATTTTCTTCATGGTTCATAGTTATTGATATAAAAGGATCGACAGCTAAGATTTGATAATGTCATTAGAGAAGATTAACAGCTTCTAAGAATAACGAATTCGGTTTTGCGTCTGTATATAATATGGATAAGATTTGATATTGTCATTACAGAAGATTAACAGCCTCCAAGAATAACGAACTCGGTTTTGCATTTGTATATGAAATTAAATAAAATATTTAAGGACTCAAAAAGATCACACCGCACCCAAATCAATAAGAACGCGAAAACGGGGTCCAAAATTCTCTGAATTTCCTATTTTTAAAATTTTTTCTCGTGATGAATCTGTTTTTTTTTTTTTAATTTTGCAGTTTTCAGGATAATTTGAAGCTTTCAATCGGCTAAAAATTCATGTACCTTTCAATCGGCTAAAAATCCATGTAGCTTTCCATCGGCTAAAAATACATGTAGTTTTGTAGTTTGAAAACTGCATCCATATTTAGCCGATTGAAAGCTACATGGATTTTTAGCACATTTACAAAAAAGATCCCTTACTGCTCAATGGCCCCGAGTGCCGAGTATAGGTCAAAATTTGCAGCTCTCCACCTGCAACTCGTGGCTTCTCCATATGAGTGAAAAATTCTCGAGAGGGACGTTAAACTACACACAAACAAACAAACAATCGGCTAAAAATCCATGTACTTTTCAATCGGCTAAAAATCCATGTAGTTTTCAATCGGCTAAAAATCCTTGTAGGTTTCAATCGGCTAAAATGATAAAATTCTAGTCTTCTATGATGGGCACCCAGGCGGTGATTCAGTTATATAATATAATATGAATGTCAATTTATCAAGTACATATGTATTTCATGGTACCTCATACGGAAGACGCTTTGTTTTCTGTGAAAGACCTCAATCAGGACAAGAACTGGAATGAATTAAAATGTTCATCCAAATGGAATTTTCTGTTTGGATGACATCATTGAATTTATCTTGAAGAATGGATGCTTTAACTGGAAATTAGAATGGGCATTTTCGTCAAAATACTCCAGTTAAAAGCACTCTTATTTAGACGCCACCACTTGCCGGTGGAGGGCTGCAAATTTAGACCTGTACTCGGCACTTATCGCCTTTGAGCAGAGAGGGATCTTTTTCGTGCAGCACCAACTTCGACACGGGATCTCGGTTTATACGTACTCTTCCGAAGGACCGTTCTCCACGTCCCGCAGTGGTATTCGAACCCGCGACGCAAGATCAATTCCTTACTCTAGAACAAACGCTCTACCACTGCGTCACTCGGCCGACTATTATAAATAAATGAAAGAATGGAATTTAAGATGTTCTATAAGTTATACAGGTATTTCTAACTCTGTCCATATAAGCGTAATTTTTTTTTTATAAATATACATACTTTAAAGCTATTTTGAAATTACTAGGACTGCATCTTTTTACCAATTTGATAAAAATCAGATCCTTTCATCCACTCAGATAGATCGCAACTCAAGAGAAGCGATCTATGCGAGCGGATCAAAGGATCAGATTTTAATTAGATCGTCTTCATCAGAACATGCGCTTTTTTCATATAGGTAAGCACATCGCTACAAAATTCTTACCATGTCGTGACTATTGACTTGTATAAAAAGAAATTATTATAAAATGGTATTTAACTTGACCCAATAAATTTAAATTCAACTATATATCTCTAATCTTTTTATGTTATAAACTATATTAAGTTTATAGTATCAAATCTTTTTTTTTTATTCTAATTAAAAATGCATGTAAACAACATAAAAAACACGTAAACATGTAAAACTGATTCCACTTGGTATAAATCGAATATGTACCTTTTGAAATGGCTTTTAATGGCTTTTCCATCAGTATTTCAGATTTTTTATCACCTCCAATTTAGTGAAAATGGCAGGATGGATGGTTCGCACGTTGTCTTTTAACTTTCTAATAAGGTTCTCTAATATATTTCTAAAACACTTCATCCATTTTGACAAAATGTTCAGCTCCTCCCTTCATATTTAGCCCAATAATCTGGCATAATCTTCGACAGAAATCATAATAGAAATGAAGTTCTGTTGCGAATTGAAAGATCGGATCTCTCTGTATTTTGGACCTTTTAAAATGATTGCTTTTAAGTCTTCATTTCAACTGTATTAACATCACCGGTGATGACGGGTCCAGAGGGGCTATAGTTGAAAGAAGAAAAAGAGCAAGAGCATTTAAAAGGATTTTGTTTTAGCTGTTCATTATCTAGACACTGTAAGATTTGTTTATGAAATGTATGAAGATAGCAAACAGTATTCAAGCTCAGAAGTCCATTAAACAATACAAATTTTGGAGCACAGCAAACTCGATCTCCGAAACATCAGAGGTGGGATCAGGTGCCATGGAGGAGTGAGCATCCCCTGCAGACCGGTCACACCCGCCGTATGCTCCTTGTCATGATCAGGAAATATAACGAAAAAATACGTTATAAATGAAAAACTTAGAAGCAACAATTTGAGAATATCTGCGGGAAGTGCAGGGTGTAGACTTCAACTTGAAAAATAGTGGAATGCAAGACTGAACTTTTTATGATTAAGAATGTTACACAGCATCTATTCCTTTGTTGGCAAATTTAAGTTTAAGGAACCGACGGATTGAGTCTGAATCATCTTCCAACACACGTGATAGATAGATATTGAAAGACATCAGTCATCTTGAAAAGTTGTAAAATGAAACGTAAAGACGATGAAAAGTAATAATGATCAAAAGTCCAATTATTGTTCAGGGATCTCTGAAAATACTAGAGGTTAGATACTGTGCCATGGAGGAGTAAGCATCTCCTGTCAAACCCATCGTGAACCCCTTGTCTTGATCGGGTAGAGAAAATTCATTTTGATAAAAAAAAAAAAGCCTAACAATGCGTATTAAATACATCAGTCAACATTCAATCTAACTACTGAATTTCAAACAAGGCAAACAAGATCATTGTATCGAGCATAGAATTTGCGAAATGTTGACTTTGGACGAAATTATTGATACATTTGTAACCTCAATGTACTTGTAAGTAACCTGCCTCCGTTGAGTATTGTTAATTAACACATTGAATTGCCGACGGATTTTTCCGTTATTTACCGATCATGACAATGAGCACACGGCGACAGAGGATGCTCACTTCTCCATGGCACCTGATCCCACCTCTGATGTTTGGAGGTCCGTGTTTGCTCTGCTCCCGAATTGTTTTAATGGACTTTGAGCTTGAATAATGTTCGTTATCTCCATATTTCATTACTTCTGAATCATTGTAGACTACGGAAGGCCGAAGGATAGATGCTTCGCATTTTGTCGCTCAACCTTTTAATACGAAATTTCACTATCCATCTTACACTTTTTATCCATTTTGAAAAAGTTTCAATGTATCCTCTTCATCTTTGACAGCATTCATAGTATTCATGTAATTTTGTCGCCGGTTGAAAGATCGGGGTTCAATAAATTGTAGATCCCTTGAATGTGTGAGTTTAGGTCTCATCGTGAACTATATTCACATCACCAATAATGCAGTACCCAGCAGAACTAAAGTTGAAAGGAGAAATAGAACATAAAACCTTATTTTTAAACATCATAATACAATTATAACAGATTAGAATTTTTCATATAAGTTTGGATACTTTGAATATTTAAATTCAAAACATTTTTTTCATAACAATGTTCGGCAGTTGCAAGCTTAAATGTGCAAGGTGACTGACTGGTTATTCTTTCTGAGCAACTTTTAGAGAAGAGGTTAGTAAACAAAATGCGTTGTTAACAGATACAGGTTTAATTTGTAAGATTTCAGTGGCAATTCTAATTAACATTAGTTATTTGATTTTTATCCTAACAATTTTTCTCCATAAATGCATTGAAAGTTATTTTTTGAAAGAAGCGATTGTTCAGTTGCTAACAATCAATAAAATGTAACATCTATATTCAAGTTTCTTTGTTTTGTTTTGGGTGTTTATCATTACTGAATACCAGTGTGTATGAATAATAAATATTGAAATCGGTCGTTTCCTTGATATCCTTGGCAGATAAAATAAGTTTCTAAAAATAATAAGAAAGCATTTTCCCGTATCTTTAGATAATTAATGCCACTCCGTCCATTTCAATAAATATTTTGTACATTATATTAGAATACAACTCATAGGATTTTCAATAGATGTCATTCTTGTCTCTGTTAAAGATGCTTTTAGCTAATGTTAAACGTATCAGTCCAAGTCTTTTGAACTGACTTGCAATAAAAACAAATGTTGAATCCATAATGGATGTCTTACTAAGCTATCTCATTGGCTAAATGAGATCTGAGTTAAAGTCAACAACTTCGAATTTTAACTTTAATATCTCTAATATTAATTGAAAAGTCCACAAGCAAAAAGCAACCAATAAGTTTTTAAGTTTAATGCGTTAAGTGTTTATATCCGACTATCAAATAATTAAGGGCAAGTGCGATAATTTTGCTAGTTTGTTAAACTGAAGAAAAGTTTGAAATTATATTTTTAGACAAGACTCATTATGTCTTGAAGCAATACTAGTATATTAAACAAAAAATTGCAATCTTGGTCAAAGGAAATGCAGTATTTTACTTCAACTTTGCACATAGACTAAAATCCAACGTTTAATTCTTCGAAAAAAATCTTTAAACGCAACTTTGTTCGTTGAATTAAAACTGTGTCGGAAATGCATAATTTACTTTAAGCATTATTTCATTTCTCTTTGCCATAAATCACAAAGAAGAGTTATTAAAACTTGCATCTTGCTATTAATAATCATTTTAAAGTGATATGTATAATTTACTTCCAGTTATCATTTCAAAAGATGTTTTTCTGACATGTTTTTCAAAATTTTACTTGTGATCTCGCATTACATCACGATTTGTGTTTTATTGACACAGAAAATATAAGAAAATATAATGAAAATATGAATAATTTATATATCCACCGTACCTGTGATGTTAATCGGTAGTCTGTTCTCCATCATCTCTAAAGAATGGAGAAGTGATCCTTTATCTTTAGCTTTGGGAGTAGAAAGGAATTTAGTCAAAATACAAATCTTCCAAAGCAAATTTAAATGTTTTGTAATTATACTTATTTAAAAAAGAATTTTGTGTAACATGGACTCATTACATAACTCATCACTTATGTTCAAAGTGGTGCATTTGTCAATTTTCTGTCACTTTATTCTTTTTCAAGCATAGAATCTTTTATCTTACAATTATCGTGTACAAGATTCTCAGTATCGTAGTTACTTCCAATAATTATTCGCACTTACAGAACACTTTGGGCTACTCGAATTATGTACTTTGATGTGTTGAAAGAATGAAAGAATAAAATTTTGAAAAACCCCGTTTTACAAGCGTGTCTGTCTGCACTGCCGAACATTCATAACCTTGGGGGGGGGGGGGCACCAATCTTTTATCTGCAAGGCCTCCTATACTGCTTAATAAAAATAATCAAACTTTCAGAGAATCTTTATTACTGTTCACCTAATTTTGTTTCATTTTTCCGAGTCGCTCGCGTGGTGCAGTGGTTAGAGCGTCTGCTCTACAGTCGCGGAGTAAGGAGTTGATCACACGTCGTGGGTTTGAATCCCACTGCGGGACGTGGGGACCGATAGTGGAGACTAGTACACCACTAGCCCTCCACCGGCAAGTGGTGGCGTCTCCATATGAGTGAAAAATTCTCGGGAGGGACGTTAAACAACAAACAAACAGGCAATCAATCAATCATTTTTCGATCAAGCAGGTATATATAGTTTCCCGTAGCAAAATTTGGACACTGCCATTCTTTCTATAACAATAGAGGTATCCATCTCTCAACCGCGACTCTTCCTGTGAAATTTAATAAGACTTTTGCAGAATCTTAATTACCTAGTGCCACTGTCCCCTTTTATTTAATGTTTCGATCGAAGAAATATTTGAGGTTAATTTTCCATAGCAAAGCATGTACATTGCAGTTCTTTCTATAAGACTGGGAATACCCATCTCTTATCCGCACATCTCAAATACCACTGAATAAAATTTAATGAGACTTTCAAAGAACTCTGTCACATAGTGCCATCGTGCATCTTCCATTTTATGTTCTGATCGCATATATATTTGGGGTTTCCCAAAGCAAAAAATGGACTTTGTCATTGTACTCATATTGGAACGGAGGATATCATTTTGCTAGCTAAATGCTCACAGTTAGTACCAGTCTAGTCTGTTTTAGTTTGAAGCAATTATTAACACGGCAGTGAAAGCTCTCACTTTACACCGATGGAAGGCTGCGAATTTAGACATGTACTCACCACTTTTGTCTTTTGAGCAGTCAGTGATAAAACATATTTTACATGAATACAAAATTAGAGAGACTCAACTAAATGTAGCATGATTTTTCATAATTTTCATAAATTAATTAAAGAATACTATAGACTTGAGTAATCCTCAACTAAAAATAAAAATACTCATTTCATCCGGCATTAGGCATCAATGAAATATTAATATAGTGAAAATTGCATTAATCAATTCATCTTCATTTATTAGATTATTAGGCATAGTCTGAAAATTAATTTTTAGGCATACATTTCTTTATTTCCAGAACATAGTTCAAATATATGTCAAGTCATAATGAAACATTCCTCAATGCTTCCCAATCAAGATTTACTGCAGGAGCTTGGGTACAATCTTTACTATGCTGTCAATAACAACATTGTATTTTAATGTTGATAAAGATGGATAATTTGTTAAAACCTACGAGCATGGTACACAAATGTATAGGTATAAATAAAGATGTATTTATTCGAAATGGAAACAAGTGATTATTATCAGGGGAATATTCATTTCTTTCAGAACGGTTTAGTACTCTGTTTCCTTTTTAACCTAAAAACTCGATGAAACTGCACTGTTGATATCGTTGGCGTATTGACATATATGGTTATCATTACACTGTAAACACTTGATCTACCCCATTGGAAACTTCAAATGTACCTCGAATCGTAAGATTTATATGTTTTCAAATACAAGAACTACCACCAATACATTAGGAATGAAATGTGAAATAACGAACAATGATCATTCTAAAAAGTCCATTTAAATAACACGAATTATGTGTAAAGCCAACACAGACCTCTGAAAACAGGAGTGGGATCAGGTGCTATGGAGGAATAAACATCCCCTGTCGACCGGTCACACCGCCGTGTGTTCTTTTCACGATCGGGCAAACGGAGACAATTGAATTTACACACACAACTAACATTATGTATAAGTAATTAGATCCAACAGCTGATTCGTTGACAATCAGTTCAGTAGATGAGAAAGACAATTGTGGATCTAGGGGCAATAGATATTCTGGAGTGGTGATGGTATCTGTTTCCTGTATGTATAGATTATCACTGTGTCAATTAAAAGATTACTATAATAAGAGCTGGGGTTTTTAATCTTCATTGACAAGTATGGCTTACCAAATGGTCGTATTGCTGTTCTGTATAAAAAGAAAAAGATAACCAAACTCATGTATTTGGTAATGAGAAGCATCTATTATTTTGCTACTTGGTTATATAAACAGAGTCTACATGAAGTCTTATTCCGACATCGTAAAAAAGAAAATCACTTTTACAAAAGATTTAATATATTTAGAGATTAAATTTGGATTGATTTTCCAATGGATTCGGAAACTTGAAAATAATATATTCCTTTCTTCTCTTTTAATGATTTTCCCCTTTGATATTCAAGATTATGATGTAGATACTTTTTTATGATAATTATCCTTTATATTTTTTCCCAAGTTCTTTGGTCTTCTGTCGGGAAGAGTACGCAAGAGACTTGTAAGCATTCAATCAAAGTTAAAAAGAATCTCATTAATATTTAACACGATTTATTTATATAACCTAAGTAGTTTCACATAGGATAAAACAATCTACTTTAAAGTGAGATAATTAATATTGATAGGCTTTTGCCAACGTTAATTTAAAAGCAGATAATTGACACTTCTTCAGTTGAACATTTTCATAACTTTTCTTGATTTCATTAGATACGTACATGTAGCAGTGTTTACATCGCCTATTGAAACAACATATGAAGCTTTTATTTTCTATACAAAAATTAGAGATTTTTTTCTGTTTTCTAATTAAAGGTACACGTATCTAGTTTTGATTTTTGAAATTAACAATAAGTTGGAGTAAAAACCTCACAGTTCTCAGTGTGTTCAGTAAATTGTTGATTCATTGAGAATCAACATGCTCAATAAATAAGTTTAAGGTTATGGTGAGTGAAGTTTCTGACACACTGAAAGGTATTGACAAATGACCGATTCTAAAAATATTTGCGTCGTTTCTTAGTTTGATATGAACGACCTCTGGAAAACTCATGAAATTGTAGAGGGCAATCACAATTCATTCCTTAATCAGGTTTAGTACATTAACTCCTATTCTTTTCAACTCAGCCAACAGCAATGGGGAATCCAAAGCGACAATTCCTCCCAGGACTAAGACAATGATAATAACTCCAATATAACCAAAGGTTTTGGCGGATGGTCTTGGACCGTCTGCTGATATTCTCTTCCGGATAGTAGACGACAAGGTGGATTTCTTCACTCTCATCCTATTTTTGATTTCTGCAATTATTGCGTCCAGCTCTTCAGTAGAGTTTATAGTGGATGTATATCTAATGATACAACCATTCGGACACGTACAGTTTTGTGGTGAGTGTGAAGAAGTTGAATGTGTCATAGTGGCAGTTGATAGAGTTGATGTTGATTCTTTTGCTGTTGAGGTTGAAGAAGCTGCCTCTGTAATGGTGGCAGTGGATTGAGTTGAAGTGGACTTCATGGATGTTGAAGTCATTGTAGACGTTGATTGTGATTCCGTAGTGGAAGTTGGGGTGTTGACTTGGAAAAAAACGCAAAGAAAATGTTGACCCTTAAGTTCTTTGTCATAAAAATTCTGAGGTTAATTGCATTAATTTGTTTCCTTCAAACAAAATACATTGCATTGCCGAAGGAGGCAAAAGAACGCTTGTAAATCTATATTAAGAAAAGCTCACTTTACCTGAATAAATAAAATGAAAAGGATTGTACCAAAATAAATGAATACGTTATAATGATACTCAGTTTTTTTTCCTTTTGATATTTTTTTTTTTACACATTATAGACTAGATAAACTTAGTTTTTATAAAATACAGTGCATACAGCTGAAGAAACTTTAAAAAAAAGATTTGATGTACACATCAGTCGCCTACAGCATTTAAACAATTGTGGGATTTTTTTAATCCTTTCAGGAAGTAGAAATAGGGTCATTTAAATCAGACTAGCATTGAAAGCTATATATTGATTTGCTTCTACTTAGAAAAGATTTTATAAATTTATTCATATATGTAGTGCTCGGTTCTGAGGTGTAATCCCTTAATTTTTTTTTTTTTCCTGCATGAGTGAATTACTTGATACTGAATTGGAAGATAATAAAAACCCTAAATTTATCTTTTCTTGGAAATAAAACAATTTTATTAACAACAAAATAAAATACTATCCATAGAAAAAAATGAAATGTCTAATTTTTAGAAGAAGATGGTAACAAAAACGGATTTATGGTTGAAAATTTCAATTATAATCAAGAGTATTGATGGTAATGATAAGACCAGTAAAACGTGATTAATGTAATATGTGAAAGATCATGTAATAAAATTTTTGTCCATTTATCATTAATTACTGGTACATGTACGTAATGTCACATTCTTTTATTCGGAATCTTATTGATTGTCAATTTAAGGGGTATTCGTATTCCTCCGCTTCACATAATTTGTTAACGATAAAAAAACATCATTACTTGATGGTAAGAAACACAGTGAAGTTAAACTCAAATAAAATAATATTCATTTAAATCTATGTCAAAACTTTAAAGAAATCACGTTGAGAATTCGAACACACCTAGATTTGGGATATTGCTGCAAAGATAAAAGTAGTATGAGTCACAGGTCCCTACAAACAAGCAGCTCAAATATTGATAAACACAATGCCAATTTGCATTATTGATATTTTTGGCGTAGAAATTTTCGTATTGTTGAGCCTGTGCAGATAGAGTTGTAAGTTTGTAGGATGACGTCGTATCCACGTCATATCCGATGTATACATATGACGACTGTCGCCTGTTAGACAGATATAATATTTATATTCATATTCAATTAATCATCTTTGAGTACAAGTGTCCATACCTTTATCTAAACTCCCCCTATTTATATAGACTGAGCAAAGAATTTAAGCAGGTATTTCCTCTTTAAAATGAGGCATAAGAATGATAAAAATTGCTTGTCCAGAATGAAAGCAAAGGTATAGCCTTAGACCTAAAGCAAATTTGCTTTAGGTCTATGGTATAGCTCAAATAATATTGATCTTTTTTACGTTGCAACCAACTAGAAATACAAAAAGCTTCATGATATTATTTCCTCTTTGGATATTTTTTCTGGCCTGGAAAATTTAATTTATAATCAAAAGAAACTTACATTCATTATAATTGTTAACACGGAGAAAACACGGAGAAAAATGACCCAAAGGCCAAAATTTCTACGAAAACGTGGGTCATTTTTCTACGTAGAATATTGACCAGGGGGGGTCAAATTTCTACATAGAAAAATTATCCCCAGTCAATATTCTACGAGGGTCAATTTTCGTCGTTACACCGGCTATGGCGGGCAGTCAACAAGATATGTTACGACAAAATCCGTTGCTTATGGAGCAACAAAATAAAATCATTGAATCTTTTCTTGATAGGAAAAGATCGGCTGGGTCTGAGAACGAAATGTATGTGCCCAAGAAACGTAAAGATGTCTCCCAGATTCCAGTTAATGATTCCACTTTCACAAAACTGACGACAGACAAATCGTTATTGGACTCGCTCATAAATAAACTATCGCAAGAATATTAAGGAGATAACGATGACAACAGTGATATTGACACTGTTTGAAGGTTGTGAGAAGAGCGGGCCGAAGATAAATGATGATCAAGCGAAACATATGATAGAGAATTTCAATGCACGAGTTAATGACGAAAAAGCAAAAGTGTTACCAAAAATCTATGATCGCCTTGCAATTGTGAACATTGATGTTAAAAAAAAAACACACAACAAGTGTATGGCATTCCTTGAAAAAAAAGGACGCCAAACTTCAGAGAGTTCAGAATTTTCAACTGAAGGCCATGTTTTCAACTTTACGTCTGTTTGAAAACGTTTCGTTGCATCTACATCTAAAAAAGGTTTGACACACATATATTTATGTACATGTACTCTGCATTGCTTAAACTTAGCAAAAATCACATTTCAATTAATGCAGGTAGCATTCACTGACATTTTCCCATAGAAGAAGATATTTAATCAATCAAGACTTGATGCCTTGCTATAAACAGTTATGTAACGATTCAAATGAAGTTACAAAAAACTTGTTGGGAGACAGTCTGGAGACCAAATTGAAGGAAATGGAGATGTCCACAAAATTGAGCACTTAACTCAAAGACAAACCAAAGACTGTTTCGTCTTATGAACAAAAAAATCACATAGTCATCCCTACTTGAATCATTGATTTTTTTTTTTTTTTTTTTTTTTTTTTTTTTTTGAGATTCTTATAGAATGGGATCTGTTATCATTTCTGATATTTACCAATGGTGCTTACAAGTTCGCCTAGAGTTTTAGCCAAGTTACTAAAGCCAGTTTTCTCCAAATTACATCAATTTGACTTCAATAGAGTCATTTATATAGATGATACATGTTTACAGGGAGATCACATGCCCACCACACCCTCCCATTGGAAATTTCTTTCTGAGAGAAATGGAATGATTGTTGGTTTCACCAAGACTGAATCACGTGATTGCCTACGTCACATATCATGTGATTCCTCAGCATTAAGTTGATTTGGTTGAACTACAATCTAACTTCATCTTAAAAGTAATATTCGTTTATTTATGAATTTTGACATATGTATGTCGCTTAATGGACTGCAGTGAGGAATCTTTATCGTGTCAACGTGATCCGTGACTCACTACTTGTACCGGAGTCGACTGCTTGGCGCAGGGGTTAGAGCGTCTGCTCTACAGTCGCGGAGTAAGGAGCTGATCCTTACGTCACGGGTTCGAATCCACTGCGGGACGTGGATTGGTCAATCGGATGAGATCGTATAAGCCAAGGTCCCGTGTCGCAGTAGGTGTTTGCTCGAAAAAGATCCCTCACTGCCCAATGGCCCTGAGTGCCGAGTATAGGTAAAAATTTGCAGCCCTCCACCGGCAAGTACGTGGTGGCGTCTCCAAATATAACATTTTTGAAAAGTAGGTTAAACTTCAAGGTCAATGTCACAGAGTCAAAAGTCATGATATATTTAGAAAGGTCTTATCACAGGTAATATATATGTATAATATGAATGCCCTATCTTTTCTCTTTCAAAATGATCAATTTAAAATAATGTTTAATTTTTTTAAAAGTAGGTCAAACTTCAAGGTCAAGGTCATGGGTTCAAAAATCATAGTATGTTTAGAAAGTTCTTGTAGGTAATGTACATGTGAAATATGAAAGCCCTATCTCTTATTATTCAAAAGTTATGACCAAGGTTAAATTTATTGTGACAGACAAACGGACTGACAAACGGACAGACTGACAGACAATTGAGATTTAATGTCCCCTAGGTCCCTTTCGTGAAAATGGATGGCAATAATACCCTTGCTGTTCATGAGAAGAAGATTTATGATGGAAAAAATCCCCTGCATTTTTCTATGTAAATCATTGGATCCCCATATGTGGCCCCAACCTACCCCAGTGGGTCATAATTTGAACAAATTTGAATCTACACTAAGTCTATGGAAAGAAAGTTTCAACTTTTTGGGCCCAGTCAGTGGTTCTTGATAAGACTTTTTTTAAATGATACCACCAAATTTTCACTAATTCTTGATTATCCCCCCTTGAAAGAGGGTGTGACCCTTCACTTGAACAAACTTGAATCCTCTTTACCCGAAGATGCTTTGTGGCAGGGTTGGTTCTAGTGAAGAAGACAAAAATGTGAAAAGTTTACAGGCGGAGAGATGGATGACAAACAAAATGTGATCAGAAAACCAGAAAAACTCAAGTGAGCTAAAAACTTATGATCACAAGTACTTGGAAAGAGTTACAGTATTTGAAAAGCAGGGGTTTTTTTTCATGCATTGTTTTCAGAAGCTGAAAAGGTTTAACTTGTATCCACGTTGAAAAAACTTCACATTTCAGAAAACAGTATGATTAAAAATAGTTAATCAAGGTGCTTTGAGTAGCAAAATAAGCTAAACTGGTATAGCTCATTCAACCACAGAGCTTAGTCAATTATAAAATGCACAACCTTTTCAACTCTTAATCATTCTTAAAATATTTATATCATCATTTCTGATTGAAGGGAGAACTAGAGATATTGGCCCAGAAGTATATCCGTTGACTAATAAACATCTACATGTATATTGTGTTTTTTAAGTCATTAATGTTTGTTTGTTGTTAAATGTCCCTCTCGGGAATTTTCACTCATATGGAGACCCAACACTTAAAAATAATGAAGACGTACAAGTCGGATTTGAGGTTAACATTCATTTTAGGAGTTTTCAGCAATTAAGACATAAAGAGATAACTCCTTCTCCTTGTCCCTACCCCTTCCCAGACCCCTGTTTGTTCATGTATGCAAACTAATACTTTGTTTTGACATAAAAAAATGTGAATATATACAAATAGTTTAATGGTCCATCTCTTTGAATGATTTTCATTCCTAATTCTAGGAGGGTACATGGGTTGACCCAAATTCATGAATGAAATGTCAAGTAATCTTATCATTGATGCACTTTTATTTAATTTGATGTAGTCATATTGTGAACATTTCCAGTTCATTAAGAGAGTGGGG